TTGGTCAGTCTTCTCTTCTGTTTCCACTGTCCCCTCCTCTGTCTCTCGCTCCTGATTGGTCTGTCCCTTCCTCTGTCTCTCGCTCCTGATCGATCTGTGTCCTCTGCTGTGCCTCGCTCCTTATCAGTCTGTCGTCTCCTCTGTCCCTCGCTGCTGATCTGTTTGTCTCCTCCTCTGTCTTTTGCTCCTGATTGGTCTGTCCCCTCCTCTGTCCCTCGCTCCTCATGTGTCTTGTCTCCTCCTGCAGCCTTCGCAGAACTCCAGACGGACATCCAGGAGCTGACCAACGATATGGATGGGGTGAAGATCCCCTTCCTGGAGTATCGGACCTACACCATGAGAGTCATGTTCCCTGGGATCGAGGAGCACCCGGTCCTCAAAGATCTGGACGTACGTACCTCCACCAGACTCCAGACTCAAAATCCAGACCAGGTGTCTTGTCGGTGATCCGACATGCGGGTCGAACCATCTGCCCGCTTCACTTCGGTTCCTCTGAACCTGAGTCGGGTTTTTTTTCTCGTTTTTTTTTAAATATTTTTTTTATAAAGCAGACGTTGGGTCCTTTTTACTGCTCGCACATCAAGACGTTCGGCTGATTCTGGAGATCTGGCCCCTGACTTGTTTTTTCTAGAGGTGCACTGATTGCAGTTTTGTGGCCGATCACCGGTTTCTAAAAAGTCTGACCTGCCGATTCCAATTTAGTTTTATAAGTGACACTTGTCAGGTGTTATAAGGTCACAGTGCACCTTCAGTTGTCTTACTGAAACACAAACCTTTGAACAAGAAACAATACAAACTGGTTTTAACTGGTCGTGAGGCAGTGATCTGAAATATAAATGAAGTTCAGACAATTGTTGTTAAAACTAAAAAAATCGATAAAATCGGTTTCTCGTGCAAGTATCGGCCGATTTCCTAAAATTAAGGAAATCGGGGCGGATTCATCGGTGCACCCCTAGTTTTTCTTCTTTTACATTTTTCTAAATATTAAAACTTTTTTCTTCAAATGTTTTCTCCTAAAAATACTTTCAGACGTTTTTAAGTCCTTTTTGTCTTCCTATGCCGTGTTTTGATTTTTAGCTTTACCAGCTCCGTTTTGGCTGTCTTGCAGCAGATTTTTAGCTGTCTTTGAGCAGATTTCAGCTGTCATTTAGCATATTTCACTGTCATTCAACAACTTTTAGCTGTCTTAGCATATTTCAGCTGATGTTCAGCAGATTTCAGCTGTCTTTTAGCATATTTTGGTTGTTCAGCAGATTTTAGCTGTCTTATTGGATTTTGGCTTATGATTTAGCCAATTTCGGCTGGGTTTTTTTTTTCATTTAGCTTTATTTATCCAGGTAGTCTCATTGAGCCACGAGAACTCATTTTCAAGAGAGACCTGTTTAGGGAGCACATGGTGGGGGTTAAGGGCCTTGCTCAGGGGCCCAGAGTGGGGCGAATGAGGGTGGAGGCAGGTGTGGGTGTTTCACCTTTTCCACCCACATTTTTTTTTATGTTGACGGTACCGGGAGGTGAACCTGTGACTTTCCGATCACAAGCCCATCTTCTAACCTCTGCGCCACCACTCCCCACATTTCGGCTGTTATTCAGATGACGGAGTTCAAACAGAAAATGGTTCTTTTGTTTGATCTGTTTCTGTTTCTCTTCTCTGATCTTGGCTAATCGAGGTGTTTTGTTCCCCTTTCGGCTGTGTGTTCAGTCTCCGGCTAACGTGGAGAAGGCTCTGCGTCTCTTCAGCCAGCTGCTGAACAACAAGATGTTCCTGCTGACCTTCATCCACACACTGGAGGCCCAGAGGTCCTTCTCCATGAGGGACAGAGGGAATGTGGCCTCGCTGCTGATGGCCGCCCTGCAGGTACCACCACACTGCCGCTGCCTGAAGGGGAGGGCCCGTGGTTGTCGGGCGTCAGGGTCTACAAGCAACACCAGGGGGCGTCATGTGTGAACACACACCACAGTCGTGTTGTCCAGGTGCCACCAGACATCAGGAGGGATCAAAACTAAAGCCCGACTGATAAATATCAGTAGGGCTGATAGGGCTGATATAGGCCTTTGGGGACCTGAGGGTTGCAGCTCTAAATGTGGGGACAATGACAGGCAAAGGTAGAGAGCTGGCTGACATGATGCAGAGAAGGAAGGTAGATGTTTTATGTGTCCAAGAGACCAAGTGGAAGGGCAGCAAGGCTCACAGTATTGGAGCAGGGTTCAAACTGTTTTACCATGGTGTGGATAGAAAGAGAAATGGAGTAGGGGTGGTCCTGAAGGAGGAGTTGACAAAGAATGTAGTAGAGGTGAAGAGAGTGTCAAATAGGGTGATGTGTCTAAAGGTAGAAGTAGAAGGTCTGATGCTAAATGTTGTCAGTGGTTATGCTCCACAGGTTGGATGTGATGTGGAGGAGAAAGATACATTTTGTAAAGATCTGGATGAAGTGTCCAGCCTCCCATACAACTCATCATGACGAGTTATATGGGAGGCTGGACACTAAAGAGGACGAGAAGGACTTGTACCGATTGGCAAGACAGAAGGATCAGGCTGGAAAGGATGTGCAGTAGGTTAGGCTTATTAAAGATAGGAATGGTAATGTTCTAACAAGTGAGGAGAGTGTGACGGAAAGATGGAAGGAGAACTTTGAGGAGCTAATGGATGAAGAGAATGAAAGAGAAAGAAGAGTAGAGGTCATAGAAACTGTGGACCAGGAAGTAGGAAAGATTAGTGAGGGTGAAGCCCGGAAAGCTCTGAAAAAAATGAAGAAGGCGAAGGCAGTAGGACCTGATGACCAGTGGAGGTTTGGAAATGTCTTGGAGAGAGATGGCAGTGAGGTTTTTGACTCAAATATTCAGTGGCATATTTTAGGGTGAGAAAATACCAGAGGAATGGAGAAGAAGTGTGCTGGTGGCCATTTTTAAGAACAAGGGGGATGCACAGAGTTGTAGCAACTACAGGGGAATTAAGTTGATGATCCACACGATGAAGATCTGGGAGAGAGTTGTGGAAACAAGACTTAGACGAGAGGTGACCATCTGTGAGCAGCAGGATGGTTTCATGCCAAGAAGGAGCGCCACAGATCCATCTTTGCTTTGAGGATGCTGATGGAGAAGTACAGAGAGGGTCAGAAAGAACTCCATTGTGTCTTTGTGGATTTAGAAAAATCATCTGACAGAGTGTCGAGGGAGGAGGTGTGGAGAGGTAGTTGGAGTGAGGACAGAGGACGCAGAGGACAGAGTGAGAAGGAGGAGGATAATTCGCTGTGGAGACCCCTGAAGAGGGAAAAGCTGAAAGAAGAAGAAGAAGGCTTTAGGGGACCTATCGGTATCGATGATAATTGTCCCATTATGCGCCAATATAAGCGCTTCTAATTTTCACCCCTAAAATGTTGGAACCGCTGTAATTGTAGAATGTGTCCAGTAGAGGGCACATGAAGACAACTTTCAAGTCATGGTCGTTCACTTTAAGTTTCACTTTCAGCACAGCCAAAGCAGGGAACGATACTGTGTAGCGTATTTTTCTGAACAGCGCATGGTGAGTTTACTTTAACTGATCTGTAAAATAAATCCACAACAATAAATTCTCTTCAGCCCTCCAACATGTGCTTGTTATTAGCTATGTGCCTCTCAAGTTAGCAAGCTAACGCTAAGATAACCTAGCATAGGTTGTTGTCTTGTAAACTTAATCCAGAACAATAAATCTAACGTAGAGGTAAAATATATCAGTGTTAGTGACGTTATCTTTGTCGTCCTCAATGAAATGCGTTATTTGTCTGAAATCTTTACTTCTCTACAAAGAAAAATAAACTTTGCTGCGGTCAATACTGATTAGACCTTCACCATTCATGACTGACTGTTGGAACAACGAACAGGAAGGTGTTTCTTTGTTTGAGTTAGAATAGAATAGAATAAAATAGAATAGAATAGAATAGAATAGAAACTTTTTTGTCCCACGGATGGGAAATTCAAGTGTATCAGCAGCAACAGATAAAAAGATTCACACAAAAGTTCCTAAATGTTAAAACCAATATATAAGAAATAAGATAAACAATATCAATAATAATGTTCAATATGTATTGGAACATTGATAAGGCCAGACTATTGACAGGACAGTGTTACAGGCAGAGTGTGTGTTTCAGCAGAGGTCAGCATGTATTTAATCCTTGTAGAGTTTGTTGGAGCAGTGATGGTTGTAGAGTCTAACAGCTGCTGGAGGAAGGACCTGCTGGAGGAAGGACCTGCTGGAGGAAGGA